TAAAGTCATATTGGTTCAATCTACAGAACAAACATTTCCTCAGAACCAACCATCAGGAATTGATCCTCTGAGTCAAACTTTGGCTCCAACACACAAGAAAACCTTCCCTCTATATGGGGGCATTATTGTTGCAATATTATTTGTAAATGTGTGCCCCCATACCTCTAAATAGAAACAGGGTAAAAGTTGCCTGCCATAACCTTTACTTACTAAGTCCACTTACTAGCTCCATTCGTCTCGCTGTTGTGATGTGATTAACACAAAAACAGTTTTATTCTTAACCCGAAAACATATGTTCAAAAACCCGGACGTGAAAATCCATACTTCGTCACTCTGCTGTTTTTTATGGCCAGTAAACAGAAAACATTAACAAAAGATTTTATAAAACCAAAAGGCATGAAATGTTATTATAAAGGTAAAAAAAAGCTATGATTAGTGCTGACCGGTGCTGAGTATTAAATAAAATTAGTATTTAGTTGGAATCAGTGGTTAACTGCTAATCTTAATACATTTAAATTACATAACTACTTACTACACCAGTGATACACTGTACAAAGCTGTATAACACAGCTGACATTCAGTGTATTCTCATTATGAGTTTGTATGAAATCGTACGAAAAGTTATGCACCGTGATTTCGTACGTTGTTGACGTTTTTTTCGTCGTATTTCGTCGTAGTTGTACGTCTTGCCTCGAGACAAGATATCCTTGCGCATGCGCATCTTACGCACCATTCAATAACATAGAATTTAACATACAACTAACCCTGACCCGAACCCTAACCCTAAGATACAAAACAGCAAGAAACGTAGTTAAAGACATGAAGAAGTAATTATTGCACTGTTTTTCCCAGTTTTACGTCCGTCCGCGGATCTGCTTTTTTCGTCTGTCTGCCTGCGCACTGATCTGTTTTTTCGAGGAAAAACATCCAAAACGTACAAAATACTGTGCATAACTTTTCGTACGATTTCATACGAACTGATAATGAGAATATGTTGTGACATTTGTAGTCCAGGTTTCAATTTTATAAAAACTACAGTAGGCTGGATTTCAGTAGAAAGTTACACCAAGAGTTTAAAAGGTTACAGTTTCAAAACTACCATTTGCTCAACATATTTTTAAGGTTTAGAGTTATTTTTTTGATTTACTAGAGATATGCCTGCAGTAAGACAGTTTTCTCCAGATATCAGATCAATGCAGCGTTTCTCTTTTACAAGTTTTTTGCTGTGAACTGCCTCTTAGAAGCCGCTCAGTGCCATGTCCGTCCATTACTGCAGGATGACTACAGGAGCAGATTGCTGGACAAATTAGGGTGAGTTCATCTTCAAGATCAGATAATCTCTCAGCATTCGTTAACAAACCTACATGTCTTATGTTTCTTTCCTAAGTGAGGGTGAAACAGTTTGCTGATGGTGTTGAAGCCTCTTCCGTGCTCCTTGTACTCCTCCTCCTCCGTCTTCTCTCCGCCCTGCTGCCCTCCACCCAGCAGGCCCCTGACCTCAGCTGATGCGCCCTTCCCCAGGTAGTGAAGCGCCTTCTTGCCGTCGTTGTCTCTTTCATTCACATTGGCTCCATAACGCTGCACAAGAGCAACCACGACCTGGCCGTGCCCGTGCATGGCTGCAATATGCAAAGGTGTGTACCCTCCATGTGACTTGCTGTTGACATTCACATACGTGCCTCTTTTGCTGGAAACATCCATGAGTTTGTGAATCATGTCACAGCTGCCGTCCTTTGCAGCCCAGTGCAGGGCAGTGAAACCTGACATGAAGTCCTTCCTCTGTGCTAAGCGTGTGTCCTGCAGAAGTAAGCCATATATTTGCCCCCACAGCCCAGCAGCACACTTCACAATCCATTCATGAACCATTGGCTCCAACGGCACAGACTCATTGAACTTGGCCTCATTGGGGTTCTTGTTTAGGGGCCCCACTAGGGGAGAGCCCTGATTGGCCTCTGTGTGTCTGGATTTCCAGCACTGGGGCTCTTTTATTGAACTCCTCTGCTGAGATGAGTAGGAAGAAAGAAGCGGGAGGGAGGAAACTCTGATGACTGGTTTGTTTGGGTTTCCATGCTGATCCACCTGGGAAGGTGATCCATCCTCTGCTCCTGCTGCAGAGTCTCTCCCCGGGGATCTGACCGCTATGACAGCGAACACAGCTCCAGATTTACGCGCTCTGCTCGGCTGATCCCCGGAGATATTCAGGACTTTAACCATGGTTGAATCCGCGGTGGATAACGGCCTGCTTCCCTGCAAACCCCCCTCTCTGTAGTTCCTATTATTATCACTGGGGTTTGGAGCGCAGAAGCTCTGCTGGATGCAGCTCTCCTCCTTCACAAAGTCCTGGTACCTCTTTCTCACCACCACGAACTTCACTTCGTCGATCTGTCTGACCACAGCGACGCTGTTCACCAGCTTCTTGAACAGCTCTCTGTTGTGCTGCTTTTCCGCGGGGTCGCCCCTGTTAATGAGGCTCCTGAAATGGTTCACCAGCTCCGAGTTTCTCACTTTGCCTCCGCGCTCCAGCAGAAAACTCAACACGGATTCCTGGCTCAGAGCCATGTTGTTTTTATTCCCTGGTGAAAAATACAAATAATAAAAAAAGATGCAGGTGAGAGATGAAGTGTCCGCGCTGTCCTCTGTCTGTTGTCCAACCTGCTGCTTCCGGCGCGTCGCCAAAATCCCTCCAGCCATTTAATATGCAGACACTCCCCCGTCCAACGGCTGCGCAGGGGCTCCTGCTGGGGAATAACACTGCAAAAAATATCTCAAAATGAGTAAAAATAGTACTTACCCTTAATTTGAGCAGGTAAATAAGATGATTTGCCAATGGAATGAGTATTTTTACTCTTAAAATAAGGTATCCAGATATTATGCGCTTCATATAAGACAATGCAATTGTTTTTTTCTTATTTTAAGTGCAAATTGTCTTGTTCCATTGGCAAAGTGTCTCGCTTAAATACTTAATTCAAGAAAAATGCACTTATTTTAAGAAAAAAAAAATGACTTATTTAGATGAAATTTTTGCAGTGTATGAAAGAAAAAGAATGAAGTGTAACAAAATGCGTAGTAACAAAATACAACAAAAAGTGGTGTGTTAAATTCAGTTTGATTGAATCATTAATATTAACACTCTTTTATTCAATTAACTCATATATAAACGTTTTAAAATGGATAAGCAACACAACAGGCCTCTCTCAAATTTAAATTCAATTCAGTTTATTTCTATAGCACCAATTCACAAAACGTCATCTCAAGGCACTTTACAGTTCACCAGAACTGTAAAGTCAAATTGATTCAAAGTTTTCTATCTAAGGAACACCAGTTGATTGCATCGACTCAGACTTCAATGCAATCCCTCACACTAAGCATGCTTGTAGCGACAGTGGAGAGGAAAAACTCCCTTTTTACAGGAAGAAACCTCCAGCAGAACCAGGTTAGGTGTGAGCGGCAATCTGCTAAGGCCGACTGGGGTTCAAGGAGACGGAAGTAGAGATACAAAAAGTAACTGTAAAAGGTGGCCCCGTCAAAGGAAACACGCATCCAGGCAGACGAGCTCTGAGCCAGCTCCCATGTCAGAGGATGAAGAGAGCACATCCAGTCAGTCACAGTCAGAGAAAAAAGGACTAGACTGAAAAACAGGCTAATCTCCAACATCTGTTGACAAAGGTGTTGATGGCAGTTGATGGCAGCAGGCAAAAAGACCCTCTCATTGTTATTGAATTATAATTTTTTTATCGGAATTTGTTTGCATTATATATTAATGAAAACAAACTAAAAAACAAATAAGTGGCATCTACTAGATATAAAACCAAGAGAATTACCTTTTTAAATATTGCAACCAACACAACAAAGCTTTTTTTCTTTAAATGCATGCATCCATACATGCTTCAATTACAGGGCTACTTTTCCATTACAGGACAACAGAAACAGGGCAGACAACCATGCAACCATTCACACACTTAGGCAAAAAATTGTTAAAATTGATATTATTAACTGGTTGTTATATAGAGTTAAAATACAAATATAAAAGTTATTCAAACCCAAGCTAGTATTTTTTGTTATATTAAAATTTAAACAAATTTTTTTTGCAAATAATACATCTATCTTGGGGGGCCAATGCCATCCCTAGCCAATAATTGGCCCCACTGTGGCCACGCCTACTAGTTGTTGTTTTTTGCCCTACCATTGTGGATGTATTTTCACCACCTCTCGAAAAAGCTGTTTTCCACTAAACCAGAAGATGGCAGCACTGATACCATCATGTGGAAAGTTGTTTTTTTTAACTGTTTTGGAATGTGGAAATTCCTATTGTGACATTTTAAAGTTAGTATATTAACCAAAAACTGACAAAAAATGACTGCAAAATGACGGATGATGTCAGAACACGCTCCGCTTTGTTTTTAAAAGATATAAATATAAAGAATATAACCGTGGATGTCAAGGGGACAGTGATTCGTCTCCATGTTCTGAATGCTGGCGTACCATAAAGAATAAATGATGAACAGTTTAGTTTGTGCCTTCAAGTCGTTGCCCATAGAAAGACGTTACCTGGATATAACCTAACATGATATCTTCAGAACAGCTCCAAATGACACAGAACTTATATGGGTTAGTAGAACATGGTGTAATAACGTAAAATCAAGTGCCCAATGTAAAAAAAAAAAAGTTGTTTCCCTTTAAGTTGCCCCAATTTTACAATATTCCGAGCCACTGATGCTTCAAACATTGATAAACAGCATCTTGTGTGTGTAGTGCTTTTAAAATTTGTATAAATGTAGCAAAAAATGCTGTTTTCTCTTTAAACGAAATGCGCCCTGATGCTCAGGTCAAGCGTGAAAAAAATAGGAGCATGACATCAGATCAATTCAACCTAAGACCAATAGTGTCCCTACCAAAGTTGAAATCAAGCCTACGCCCTTGAGGCCACCCCTATAAAAATGTTCTGGAGCCGCCCCTGCAAACTGGGCCCAGTGGAGCAGGTTGCACAGCGCGCTGTAATGCCGTCCTCCTGCACAGAGGGGGTGTCGCACTGAGCAGATTGTGCGGACAGCAAGTCTGCATGAAAGCCTGATTATTATTCCCGGACTCAGACATTTATGACGATGGCGGCCGATGAGGTAAGATGTTTTCACTTTACGCATGGCGATGAGCTGCTGTCTGCAGAGAGACTGTAGATCAGAGACGCGCACACAGGACACGGAGTGACGGAATGCTGCAGGATGCAGGATGCTGAGAGAAGCTCGCTGTGTTTAATGAAGACGTCATTGTGCTTCTGTGTTTGAACGGTCAGAGAAAAGCGAAACAGCTTCGAGGATGAGTGTTTATACCTGTGACAGGTGCTGAATGACAGGGCGGAGGGTCAGTTTGAATGGGGGGCGGATCTAACAGGATAAATATAAGCCTCTTTATCTAGTGATGTTAAGAACTACCTCAATTATACTTATATTGCTTTGTGAAAACAAATGCACCCATAAAACATGTGTTTTAGATTTGAGCGCTGCCATAAATTATTATTGTATAATATACCAATGTTTAACTTCCTGTCAAAAGTTGCTTTAAGAGATTAAAGACTTTGTTTTAATGACATTGGGGTTGTGGGTACCAGGGCAGCCAGCTTGGATGTCCTCTGGGAAATAACCTCCAGATAAAGAGCTCTTTGTGTGTCTGAGGCTGAAACGGAAGGCTGTTTTATTTACCACATGTTGGTCCTCATGTTGAGCTTTTTAAGAGATGCCAAGCAGAGGCGTAGCCAGAATTCTATTATAAGGGCGGCCAGGCAATAACCAAAGTACAGTGAGGGGTGGCCGCACCAGAACCTCAGGGTCAATCTGCCCTGTTCCAACAGGAAAATTATCCATATTTTCTAAATAAAGACAAACTATACTTTCCTACAGCCTTTGCTAACAAATAGATGCACATATTTAAACATCCATTTCTAGATAAAAGGTATAGTGGATAAAACTCTTTCAGTTTTGAGTTCCGGAGCGTAAATCTTTTCCATTGTCATTACTTACCCACTTTTATTAATAAACATTCTGCATAAAATTGACATTTGCAAGCACTAACATCTACATAAATTGATTATTTGACAATTATAATTATTAAAATTGTTATTTCTCTATGATTTCACTGAAGACTCCTATGACTTGCAGAGACACATCATTTTCTCTTCACCCCATATAACGCAACATCTAGTTCTGAAAAGAGCATGAATCTGTACTTATCATATCTGATGTCAGTATATTGATGTGTATAATTACCCACAAAAAATTAAAATGTTTTAAATATTCCACTTGAGAGTAATACTGCTGCCACCATCTGTATTAGAGGAGGGAAAAATGGTAGAGGTGGCCTCAGGGGTGGCTAATGTTTGGCTAAGGGTGGCCATGGACACCCCTGGCCCCCCAAGATTCCTGATGGATTCAGTGTTAAAGGAGAAAATGCTCAGCATTCTGACTCATCCAAAGTTACATCCAATCAACAGATGTCAATGTCTTAAAAGCAATGTTTTTGAAAGACGAAACTGTTCCTCATGTCTCTGTTGGGCATTTAAAGTAGTTTTTTACAGAAATGCCAGGGAATTTTGTTGGATTGATCAGAGAATTTTCCAGCTGTTTGGAGTAGTAACAGTGCTGCTTCCCCTCTTCTACTTGTTTTTGGTCAGCTGAAAAATAGAAAATACAACTGAAATGTTTTAGAAAAAATAAATTGGTCAGAGAAGACATGGTGAGGTGTTTTTATTTTTTAAATAGCACCTAACTTTAAGTTATACATTTTTGTAAAACTATTATAATACAGTCAGAAATCCCTATAGACCCATTCCTACTTACAAGATTGTTATTTCCAGGCTCAAATTGACGTTTATTGTTTTTTTTAAGGCAGGGAGGCTGACATCTGACAGACGGTATCTTCTTTACCCAAAGCTATGATCACTTATCACTAATAAATCTAACCAATAAATATTTCCTTTTAATGCTGTCTGTGTATCAACCAAAACAAGAAGTATGACGAAATTGGAGTGCTTAAAGCTGCAGTTGGGCAAGTGATAAGGCAACTGCAGCTTTTTTGTTTGTTTTTTGCTTTCACAATTAGAGCATTATGGTTGTTGCCATATAGGGTAAAGCTTGGGAATTATGTATGAAGATTTATTAGTGATGGTTTAGGGAATAAAATCGTATGCGACAGAGACAGAGAGGTAGATGAATCAAGGGGGGAGACAAATATTGGTAGAGAGAAAAAACACAAAATCTTGACAAATGTACTAATATGTTTTTGTTTTGTTTTTTTGTGCCTCATATGGTTCCAAAGAATGAAGAAATTCGAAGCTTGGAGCTCAATGGCCAAGTGGGCTTCAACAGCCTCCCTCATCAAGTGGTCAGGAAGTTTGTCTCTCAGGGATTCTGCTTTAACATCCTCTGCATAGGTATGTCCAAACACGATGTGATGAATAACCATCAGTTAAATTGGATTAAATCTTCATCGTTTGCTGTTTTTCTCCAAGGTGAGACAGGGATAGGCAAATCAACCCTGATCAACACGCTCTTTAACACCACATTTGAAAACGAGGAAGCTGATCATTATGAACAAGAGGTGAAGTTGCGCTCACAGACATACGAGCTGCAGGAGCACACCGTCAAACTGAAGCTGACCGTGGTGCACACTGCGGGGTTTGGAGACCAGATTAACAAGGAAGAAAGGTGAAGAACGTCTTTAGATGTTGGGACATTATCCAAGACTGGATGCTGTCCAGATAATGAAATAGCAAACTTAACCAGTGCTTCACAAATTGATCTAGAATACAAAGCTGTAAACAACTTTTTCAACTGCTGAACATTAAAAGTCAACTATAGTATTTTTTATTTATATATTTTACTAGGGTTTTTTTTTTTTAGTAAGAAAAAAAAAGTCAACTATAGTAAATAAAAAGTAAAAAATAGCAATTACATAAACTACATTCTCCTTTAAATCACAAAACTGGCATATTTAAAGTGTATTTATTCATAATTTAAAATGTTCATTTTCTGTTTAATATAATTCAATGTTGCTATCAAAGCATTTATAAAAGAATAGAATAGAATCTTAAAATGTTTCATTTATTCTAAATCATTACCACCAGGCCCTCCCTGCAATTATACTGGGCGCCCCTAGGGGGAGCGCTACTTGGTTTTGGAACCACTGATGACATGGCTGCAGTCAGCATATGGAAAATGGAGAGTTCTGACATCTCAAAAATACATGTTTTCTTGATGATGTTGAGACTATTACACCCCTGCATATTATTGCTCATAAGAAAAAAGCGTTAGGATGAATGTATCTATTCAAACCCTTTAGAAAAAAAGACTCAACAAAGTAGCTGCTTCTTTTATTTCAACAGGTACTCTTATGAAAATAGTGGCAATAAACAGTTATTGACCCCTTACTAAGTTCTTAATTCTTTTCCTCCTATTAAACCATCATATTTATCATAAGGTCGACATTTGAATTTACTGTGACCACCACTTATTTATGTCTTAACTTATTTCTTCACATTTTCTCTCTTTGTATTTTGAGGTATGGGTTTATGACCTGTTTTGACAACATACACTGGCTATGCATTAAATGATGACAGAAAAAGGTTGATAAAAAAAAAGTTAACATGCATCTTGGTGAGATCAGGGCTAGCTATAATCCCCTCTTTTAAAGCTGTTCATTAGTGATGTTAAGACTAAAGACACTGTGGTGACATGTAAACTGTCTTTTTTTTCCAGCTGCAAACCCATTCTTGGCTATATAGAAGCTCAGTTCGAGAAATATCTGGAAGAGGAGCTAAAAATAAAACGCTGCCTCTTCAGCTATGATGACACCAGAATCCACGTCTGCCTGTATTTCATTGCTCCCACTGGGCACACCCTGAAATCTCTTGATCTCGTCACAATGAAGAAGTTGGACAGCAAGGTAGGATGATGAAAGCCCAGCACAGAATATTTCATCAGTAATTTTTTATTTTTAGTCTCATCTTGTGAACCTCTGCTTAGGTGAACATCATCCCCATCATTGCAAAGGCAGACATCATGTCCAAAAGTGACCTGGGAAACTTAAAGAAGACGATCATGAACGAGCTGAAGAGCTATGGCGTGCAGCTCTATCAGTTTCCGACTGAGGATGAGGAAGTCGGAGAGATAAACTCTTCCCTAAATGTGAGTCTCAGATATGGACATCTATGGATCCATCCATCCATCCATCCATCCATGGATACACCTTGGACATCCATTATGTACAAAGATCTCCATAGTCCGACACAGACATAAAAGTTGCAACAGCTGCTTTCTAGTAGCATAAGAAAAACACAACTTGTGTAAAAAATAAATCTGACTTCAAAGATTTTCCACATGGGGTTTAAAAGTGAGGATGTCATTGATTAAAATGCCCAGATATTAACATGTGTAAACCAGCTTGATGCAATTTACTACACAATAGAATGCTGAGGGGAACTTTTGAAACCCCTTTGACATGGGAAATTATGGAGGGAATTTTGTTCCATTATTGTTGCCAGCAAAGAACACATTTGTAAATGAAAAAACAAGGATGTTTAGAGTAACTATACCTTTTTCTCAGATGTTATCTTTTCAAGATTTGATTTTTAAAACTTTCTTTTTGCAATTTTCCTTTAACAGATTTTAGATTTCTTTTGGACGTCTGTTTGTGTTTTGTATAATAATGGAAGAATTGCATCCTTTTTCAATTGTTTTTTTAAGATCAGATTTTTTTTTCCCTTCAATGCCAAGAGAAAAGTTGCAAGTCTCCTTAGAGACCAATAGAAAAGCTCCTCAGTCTGGAGGAAAGCTTGTCCTCATTAAGAGAGAACATGATCTGTAAAACATTTTGTAAAACTCAATCTAAAAAAATAGAAATTTGAAAAATAAGATTTGAAGATAAACAATCTGAAAAAAAAAAGAAAAAATAACATTTAAAAAAATAAAATACAAATTAAAAAAAGATAAACACAAGGAAACATAGCTTTACCATAAAAAAATAAAACTGAAAAAACATTTTTTTGAATTTTATTTCAGTTTTTTTTTCTTCAAATTTTTACTTACAAAAGATGTTTTTGGCTTGCAACAATGACAAATAACAGAATGACAGATAAAACTCACTCAATAAAAAAATTACATACATTTGGTTTTATAAGCATTATAAACAAGCTTAAACTTGAATAAAGTCCTCTGAATCTTCAACAAAGGGTTTCTGTAAAAGTTAAGTTCCCTTAATATGCAATAAATACTATTGTCATCTACATAAAAAATGTAAGTTTGCATCAGACACATTTTCTCCCAAATAATTTATTTAAATCATGAATAGAGGAGGACCTAATACTGATCCCTGTGCCCTTGCTCCTTTTTGAGAGCTGCAATTTAAAAAGTTCAAGGGGCCCATGAAGCAGAATGTTCCATGTTTTTTCAACACTCCAAGTGTAATGAATGACAGACATTTTCAGTTTAATTGTGGTTGTCTTTTAAAGAAACAAGGTTTCAAGTGTGTTTCACCAAGTTAGAAATCATTATTTTTTATTCACAAATTCAAATTTGATCAGAAACACATTAAACTGACCCTTTAAATGTCAGGTCCAGTTCATGAAAATCTCCCTTAGCCATCTTATTTGCATAGAAGTGACATCTTTCAAAGTGAATTTGGCAGAGTACGAAGAGAATGACTAAAAATGTTTAACCTAATAAATTAATCCCACCAACAGTGTTAGTATATATGCACTCAGCTGAAAAATCTCCTCTTTCTGTGTTACAGGATCGACTTCCCTTTGCTGTGGTTGGAAGCACAGAGGATGTAAAAATAGGGAACAGGATGGTGAAAGCACGGTCATACCCCTGGGGAGCTGTACAGGGTGATTCTGCTATTATCATTTAACAAAACTCTCACAATCTGTGCACCGGATAGAAATGATTACAATGTTGTTTGTGAAGATTGAGCAGCTAACAAGGTTTTTTCTTACTCGTTCAGTGGAAAATGAAGAGCACTGTGACTTTGTTCATCTGAGGGAAATGCTTCTACGTGTTAACATGGATGATCTCCGGGAGCAAACACACTTTCGTCACTATGAGCTCTATCGTCGCTGCAAGCTAGAAGAGATGGGCTTCAAGGACACTGACCCTGACAGCCAGTCGTTCAGGTGAAATGAGGGGAATCTGTTGCAAAGCAGCGCATGCTTTATTCCACTGCACAGAAACCCTTTCTTACACAATACAAACTAATGAGTGCATCTAGTTAGGTCTTAGGTGTTATCCTCACGTCACAAACAAACAGATTTGTTCCTTTTATTTAGGCATAACTGTTCTGTCTGTTGTTTAGATTTGTTGTCATCTTAGGTATTTTACAGCTTAACACTACAATGCACTGTCACACCCTTATTTGTCTTTAGTAGAGAGATAATTAGTACAGAGAAAAGCTACATTTGAATTTCAGACTACAGATTATTTTGTTATTTGAGCATGCAAAACCTTCCAAACCAACCTGATGTGCAAACATATCTGCCCCATAAATCTCATAACAACCAACAAGCATCTCACTTAACTGTCAGTGAATCTTTACATAACTATTTGAGGAGTTTTTCTGCTCTCAATAAAAAAAAAAATAATTCTTATAATATTAGAATAATAATAGAACTTTATTGATCTCACACAGGTGAAATTTACCTCTGCATTTAACCCTTCCCCCTGGGGAGCAGTGGGCTGCCACTGTGAGGCACCCATGGTGCAGTGTGGGGATAAGGGTCTTGCTCAGAGACCCAGAGTGGAGGCCCTGGGGATCGAACCGGTTACTTGCAACCCTGCAGAACTTCTTAGCAGAACTTCTCTCAATAAACCGTAGGGAGGGTATTCAAACATAAGCAGCTCTTTTTAGTTTAATCTGAATTGGATTAATCTCCTGACTTTGACAAGCCAAACCTAAAACCCTAATTTCCTCTGTTTTGTGCGACCCCCACGTTGTTGAGTTATTTTGGAAGGACCTTTCCATAGAGGCTCATTCTCATCTAGGTAATGGAAAGTTCACAATCTGATTTTTTTCCCATACCATTTCACTACCACCACCACGTTTGACTCCAGTTATTATGTTCCCGTTTTAGAATTCTGTTATAATTATATTTTTTTAACATGACACACCTTTGGAAACATCTACTTTTGTCTGTTTTTTGAACATCTTGAGGATCATCAAGGTATTTGTTGACAAATGTGAGACAGGTATTTGTGTTCTGTTTAATAAGGACAGGCCACTCTTTCCCAATCAGTTTCTTGTTATTGAATCATGCGCGCTGACCTTAACATTTTGGTAAGTTGGTCATTTTTGTCCGGACACTCCTGGGAAGGTTTAGCATTGTTTCATGGATATTAGTTAAAAAAACTTTCTGGACTAAGGAATATTAGCAGATTTGTTTCTCATTTCCTTAGTTCCCTTTTTAAGCCTGAAAAAGCTAAAGTAAATTAAACAACAGTTGGAAGCTGCATTTTATATTAACCAGCTCCTGATGCTTCAATTTCAAACCAGCGATATGAACCTAAGATTGCGTTCGCCCTGTTCTCTAGCCTGCAGGAGATGTACGAGGCCAAAAGAAAGGAGTTCCTCAAAGAGTTGCAGCAACGAGAGGAATCGATGAGACAGATGTTTGTTAACAAAGTGAAGGAAACAGAGGTAGAGCTGAAAGAGAAAGAAAAGGAGGTGAGGACTGAGCATGCTATAATATTCACCACAGATTTAAAAAAAAAAGCCCTGGGTGTCTCTCATATGGCGCCTTCTTTTTGTGACGACCACATTCTTCAGCTTCACGAGAGGTTCGAACAGCTGAAGCGCATGCACCAGGAAGAAAAGAGGAATTTGGAGGAGAAAAGACGCGAGCTGGAGGAAGAGATGAACGCCTTCAACCGGAGGAAGGTGGCGGCTGAAACGCTGATGGGACAGGCGCTGCAGGGGTGTTCGCATCAGCCACTCAAGAAGGAAAAGGACAAAAAGAAGTGAGTGTGGATTGTTGTTTTTGTTCACCCCTGGAATCACAGTACTTCAAAAAACTGACTCATAGTACAGCCGTACAATAGGCTCTCAATCAATCAGATACTTGTCTTAATATTTTATGTTTCTCCAGTTTTAGTAAAGATAGTGGATATTTTCATATATTGAGGCCACCAAACATCATCACCATTTAATTTAATCCACAAATAGATATACTGAACATAATGGCAAGTCTTGTTTACATTGACTTAATGATATGAGAGTGGGTGATAAAGTAAGCTACCATGCTATCCTCCCAGAGGTCATTTGACTCATAAAGTGATCCAGGGACGTATTTAGACTGACATGGTGCACAGACACCCTAGGAAAGGGTCACAGCTTGCATGACACAGCCTGATGCCTCCGTCTCTGCAGGCCAACCTGCCAGACTGTCTCTCAGGCAAGGGCACTTGTGTTTACATTTGACTTGTCTCAGCAGTGTAGATACCCATGGAGCTGGCATCAGTTTTTCAGGTGGACACATTACATGTCAGGGTGAATTATTGATGAATGAATTAGTCCTGTTAAAAAACACATTGAAAACGAAAACCATATTGAAAGAAATGGAAGCTAATTATAAGAGCCTAATGATTGAATTTTATCCAGTTTTGATCGGTTAGGATTTCTTAAAGGATTAATATTTGTCAAATGCTACCACAATATAAGTTTTCTTCAGAAACCTTAATGAAATATATAGATTTACATTTACTAAGATTGCTAAGCCCTATTGCTAAGATTTTATAAATTTTAATAAGCGCACCCAAGAAATATGGAGTAAACTTTGGTCCATTATTGTTGCAAGCAAAGAACATGTTTTGTAAATAAAAAAATAAAAATAAAAAAAATCCAGAAATTAAACTTTAAAAAACATCTTCATCAAAAAAGGTGCAGAAAAGGTGAAAAGAATGTGATTGAGAAAACTCAATCTGAAAAAGAGAAATAACAAAAAAATATTTTTGAAAAGGCAACACCTGAAAAAAATTAAACATGAAAAGAAAAAGAGAATAAAATGATTCGAAAACATATTATTTGAAAAGGCAAAATTACCCTTAAATCTTTTCAGTAGAATTTTTTTAAATGTTTAATTGATAAATTTGTATTTTTTTGTTTCTATATACAAAATTAGTTCTTTGCTTGCAGCAATAAGGGAACAAAATTAACTCCATAATAAAAATCTGTTAAGCGACTCAAACATATTTAAATGCAGCGGCAGCAAACACACTAAAAATGTTCAACAATACAACCTTTAATTAATTTACTGTCAGAGAAAATCCCCAAAATACTAGAAATATTTCTTTAAACAGTATTTGTCCCTTGCAGTTGCATTACCTAAAATGTTTAGTATGAGCTTTAGTTTTAGTTGTAGCATTTTAAAATGTTTTACATATGTCTTTGGAACTGTACTAGTTGTATGAGGTGCTTATTATGTTTAGAAGAGTAATTTAAAGTAAAACATAGAGAAGTTTATATTTTTCTACTGTACTGTATACATTTTTAGCATTTTTTGTATTTGTTTCCTCTTCTTTTAGTTAACTAGTGGATGAGAGCATCCAAGAAAAATGCACTTTTTGTCAATGTAGGAAAACCAGAATCTTTCTATCTACACCATGTGTGAACTGATTTGTTACTAGTGTTGCATCGATATCGATACCGATCCCAGTATTGGGCGGGGCCCCGATCCAGCACTAAAATGGGGTATCAGTATCAGCAAGTACCATCAAAATAGGGCTCCGATACCATTTTGAGAGCCAAAATTTTATTCAACTATTGTCACCCATTTAAGGGAGGCAATAAAAAGTTCTACTGGATTCACTTTGTATTAGTCTTTTTTCCTGCTTCACAAAGGTAGGCAGCAGCTTGACAAGGCCATGATGGCAATGATTTTACATCCAGGTAGTATGCAGTTCTTCATATACACACACACACATCAATTTAAAACAGATGGTATCGGTATCGGCCAATACTGCACAGCCAAGTATCGGGGCCAAAAAATGGCATCGGCGCAACACTATTAATTATTAACCAAACAATGATAATAATGATGATGCTAATACATGTGCTTAACGCTCAGATTACAGTCTCCTTGGACTAACTGTATTTACGTGTAATAATACGTAAATTAATAGTTTTTAATTTACACCAAAGAAATATTTTTTACATTTTTACTCTAACTTTTTTTGTCGTCTACTTTACTAGTTTCTTGCTCTCAATTAGAAACTTAGGGAACCTAAACAGCTTGCACAGTTTCTGCTTCTGTCTTTTACATATTTTACCTAAATATATATGTCTTGGTACTCTGAAATGAAGATATTATTTTAATTACTGTTATTTTGAAATGCTGGTGAAGATTTTCAGTCATCCAGATCTCTGTCATTCCAAAAAAGTAAAGAAAAAAAAAAAAACAATCCACTGGGCCTCTTTTCCAAGTTTGAAGACGTTTTGCTTCCCATCCAGGAAACTTTTTCAATTCAAAATGTCATTCTCCAGGCAGAGCATGTCCCTACTAAACAGAAGGGAAGCACAAAGAACAGAAACACATCAAAGATGCTCTTCAAACCTGTGGATACCCAAACTGGGTGTTTGTCAAATCAGCAAGGAAATCCAAAAGACATGCAGCAGAACATAACAATGAGAAGATTAAATGGAAAAGAATTGCAAGCCCATATGTTACCCCAAACACAAAATCCCAGTAAAGTTAAAACAAAACAAGACCCTTAAACAGAGACTAATGCATCCTAAAGACAAAACCCCCAGAACAAATATGACCGGAGTGGTGCATGCAGTTCAATGCAGTGAGGAATGCTCTGATCTTTATATTACAGCGGGATGCTCAAGTCCCGTCCTCAAGATCTACTATCCTGCAACTTTTTGATGCACCCCATTTTTAACACACCTGAATGAAATGAGTGGCTGGTTACCATGCCTCTGCTGGGCTAAATGAGGGGATTGAGCCTTTCGATTCAGGTGTGTTAAAGAGATGCATCTAAACGTTAAAGGATTGTTGCTCTTGAGGACTGGACTCGAGCACCCTGTATTAGAAAAACCAAACAACCTCTCCATGATGCATGGCCCAAGACAGAAGAGCGACCTCCTCAGGACAAGACTCCTGGGTTCATCTACACCTTATGGAGAAAGGACATTCTTTTGAGTGGTTTGAAAGGGGTGTGAAGGAATCCGTATATATCATGAAAGAAAAATCAACCTTAAACAGAGGGTACGGGATCTCAGGTTTCAGCTTTCAAAAACTAATAATTTAGCGATAGAGTTGATTCCTTCCCGCTATTATCGTAACCCCCATCCCCTTACAGGGGAACAGATCACTTTGCCTGTTCAGCCAGGCCAATGATTCCCTCTAATGACCCCCTTTCAGAGACATAGACAGGTATTGGGGATTGCAGGCTAATAAAGAACCCAAACGACTGCCCATTCTTAAGGGGCAGATCTGTTCGTCCAGTTAAATTTGCATGTTTTGCTAAGCCAAAACAAGGATTTGTTTTGGGTCTACTCTATAAAGCCTTGAACTCAATCCTGTTTCTGACCTTTTAGATTGAAGGCGAAACGTCTTCAAACTTGGAAACAAAGTGCAGTGGATTTTTATTTTTTTTTAAACTTTTTTGGAGTTATTTTGAAATACAATAACATAAAATTTAATTGTATTCAGCATCTTTAGGGGCGTAACGTCATATTGACACATCAGCAGCGCATCTAGAATAGAGAACATTTTCAGCCTCAGTTAAAAACAAATAAACAAAAGCATAATGCATAATGATCATAATGGATTCTCTTCAACTTCCATCTTATCATCATTGTCTTTCAGAAGATAAAAACATCTTAGATCATTTGTTTTATTCAATAAATCCTCGATGTGCTCTTGTAAAAGAGGCTTATTTATAATTCCTCCTCTGCTAGCAGTGACATTAAAGCAAATAGTGAAGAACCTTTAGTGATATTTTTATCTAATGAGTCAAAAGCATGTCGTTTTCTGGTTTTAAACAAATAACCTTGTTTTTGTCTTCCCATCTCCAGCTTCTTTAGTCTTCCGTCTGCGTGCTCCCTAACCTCAGGAAGGAACGTGAATTAGAAGACTTTCTACCGCATGAGAACGTCCGACTAACAATCAAGTGTTTTTATTTTTTAACAAGAGTTAGTAAAAATTTTCTAGAAATACAAACTCTTTGAGGTTTTATCAGGCAGATGTCTTCCATGTCACCTACACCTTTATCTTCCCATTGCAGCATAGCCTGTGCATGGCTTCTAAACTTAATTTCTGTACCTGCTAAGGGGTCTACTTTTCAGAAATGTGTTTTTATAATAATGTGCCTTGCAAAAGTGTTCACGCCTCTGGAGTGGGGGTCATGTTTCAGCCACAAATTTCTTTGTCTTTTATTATAATTTTATATCTCAGACCGACAGAAAGTAGCCTATTATATTGTGGTGGAAAGAAAATACCAGGTTTTTATGTTTTATTTACCTTACAAATTAAATCTGAAAAGTGTGGAGTACATATTTATTTACTCCTGTTATCTTAATACTTTCTTTGAGAATCACTGTTTTGCACTCAGAGTTTTAGGTCTTTTTTCAAGCTTAGCCAGATAGGATGTGAGAGCCTTTTTTAAGATTAGTTTTTGAAGTCTTTTGCAATAGATTTATAATCATGTATTACACCTGTCTTTGCTTTAGGATATCCTAATAAAGGACCCAGGTATTTTCTTCTATACATTCTATCCATCTATTCTATTTACTTTTTTTTTCTTTTTGGCTGTCCCTGATGAAGAACAGCATCACCAAAACATGATTATGTCACTGCCACTTCCCCAATTAGTGATGCTGTTTAAAAAAAAAACGTTATTTATGTAGTGTTATTTTTTTTTTTACCCGACACTTTCAGACCTTAAGATATTTTTTTTCATAACATAGCACGGCTTTATTGATCTCCACCATTTGCTTTGTCCTGTCTTGTCTGCTGTGTCCTTTGGTTTTCATTACACCATTTATTACCTAATGTTTCCTAAAAATGATTCACAGAACAGCCCTGTTTACAGTGCAATAGGTTAACAAAAGGGAGTTTTTTTTTATGATGAATTTTAAGTAGGTGATCTCTGAACACAATTGGATGCAAGGAGTTTTACTCAGAAATTCATATCATAATTTTAAAAATTTTTGTTAAAAAAAAAGCTAAAAGAAAACAACATAATTCTGAAAACCACCCTTTTATATAATTTTCTTCAATTTTGGAAACGTGGTGCTTAGCTTCTGTTCATCAAATAATATTCCAGTAAAATACACTGAAGTATGTGGTTGTAAAAATGTCGACATGTGTATACTTTTAGCAAGGTACTTTTGATGTGCAATTTTCCTGTTCTTGCCTTGTAATGCTTGTTGATTGAATGTTAGAAAATACACTGTGAAATAAGTACATTATGCCCTCATGTGCTCATGCTGTCAAAAGATGTCTTGTTTGTAGTCATGTTATGATTTAGAAGCACTTTAAATAAATAGTAGTTTAAATACTATATTGATATATATCTAAAATAATGATTTGTGTCTTGACATTGAAACATTTATTTTCTTATATAATATCTTAATGATGTATATGTCATATTTAAATGATTTAACTGTAAATGTATTCAATCGTAACATAAAAAAAGCTGGATTTGAATAAATTCAGGATTCAAATCTTCTAATGTCAACAAATGATTTATAATTTATTTTTTTATTTTTTTAAATGTGTTATTTTTTTTATTTTTTTTAATGATTGTGCTGTCTGATTAAATCAGCAAGGGAAACAAAGAGGGGATCTGGTTCCTTCAGGCTCCTTCCAGATTGTTCTGGAAAAACCTCCCAGTGGTCATCCTGTTAATTTATATGTACTTTCAATCATTATCACCATTTAAAGCTAGGGGCAGTAGAAATACTGATAACATGATATGTTTGGTACTTCAAGATAATGTTTCTTCTAATTTTTTTTTTTCTTAATATATATATTTGTAATCTTTTAACACAGTTTTTACTTCTCTACAGCAAATTCAATATCACTGAGCACTAAAATAAAGTTAAAAAACAAAGAATTTATTCTAAAAATGTTGTTAGATTTGTTTATAATTTATAATTGATAAATTTAAGTTTAATCTCATTAATCTGAAGCCTTATATGCTTAATCAAGAACAAACTTCCGTCCCACATGCTTCGCTCAAAAGAGATTGGTCCTGAAGCCAGTAAAGACCGGGGCTTGTTTTTGAGCGACAGGTAACACATCCAATCGAAATGCAAAATCAGAGCTGACGTCAGTCACCAGCCAATGACAGCTGAGCATGGCTGGGCAGGGTGTGCTTTTATTCCTCCTTATTTACCTAAACTGTCCTTTTCCCCGTCGCCTTACGCCAAGGGTCAGGGGTGTGCATAGGCAGACGTTAACCTATGCTTAAAACTTTCTTAGTTGAAAGTTCATACTTACACTTTTTTGTGTTTTGTAACTTTTTACACTCGCTTTTTAAGAGCGTGTGAATATTTTTTTAGTTGAAGACTTTAAAAGCAACTATTCAAGGTAAGTAAACTAAACATTTTCTTTGTACTTTTTTTTGGTAATTAACAGCTAAATTCTTTCTCTTATTAAAAGTAAAACATATATATATACATATATAAATATATATCTAACACCACCAAACGTGACGGTCTTTTCCTCTTTTTTTTTAAGCTAGCTTAGCTGCTGTAGCTGATCATGGTCCCCGTGTCATTTTTAAATTCAACATTTACCTTCATTAAAGTTTGTAATTTCAATCGGATTGGGGCCGTTACTGCCTTATATATACTCGTTTGACTCCGGTTGTGTGTTTTGAGCTGTGTTTCCCTGAGCTGGGGCTGTTTCTGCCGTTATATGTTCAGTGGCGTGTGCGGCAGAGACATGTCCTGACATGACGCCGGAGCTGCCCCAACAAGGCCCCGTCCCTGCCTAAATTAACCAAATGCGAACAAACTCAAAGGATAATGTCGGATAAAGTACATTAAACTACTAAGATATGACAGAAACATTATTGGAAAATCTATTTTCACCCACTATGGTAATTATTGGTGTTATATAACATCTTTTATGTCCAGTTTTGGTGACAGTTAACGGGGAGACCTCTTACTGGGTTACTTACAAATATGGAAACAGCCCCTTTAGGTGTCCTGTCTCCTTCCTAAACTTGGTTCAATTGTTTTTATTAAAAGCTTTTAAATTGTGATATTTGAAGTGCTTTAAAATTGTTTATTCAATTAATCATATGATTTTAAAAGTTATATTTTGTTAGTAAACTTTTCCATATCTTGATGAAGCAATTAAACCAACCAGAATCAAAATTTCAATTAAAGTTTTCATTTCACTTCATGTTTTTATGCAACTGTCATTATAATGCTCACCAGTGGCATGTTGGGTCTTTTGGTTGTACATTAAAATATGAACATTTTGTATTTACACTCTGTTCCCATTTTGTCTTGGCACCATTTTAGAGGAATAGATATGGGGTAAGATGACTACTACTAAAAACGTCTGCCTGGACATCCAACTTTGTAAATGAAAGTCAATTAATTAGTATTTATTCGTTGTTGTGAACTCTTGGATGCATGTGAAATAAGATCATCTGTGAGAAAAGGGGTTTTAAGTGATGAATAAAAGTTAGAAAATTACAATTTTTCAAAAATACTGGTACAAACTGATGAATTTACCTATGCAGATCACAAATTTACTAGACAAATATATGACTATGAATTGGATATTTACAAGTAAAAATCACAAGTATAAGTGTATGAATTTGTACTCTTGTAAATTTGTGAATTTTTTGACCCATGCTTAGAAGTTACTTTCTAACTTGTATTCATAACTTCATAATCCCAAATCCAAACTTTGAAGATCTGCTGGATTAAAAAAATTACATTTGTCATCCATATTGTTTTTTTTTTCCTTCCCCTGCAGATGATTGATACAGTAACAGGAGCACAGGCCTTTGCAGTTCAAGTAAAGGGCCTGTTGGATCTAGAGGGCCGCTACCAACCAAAGCTCACCGGCTTGAGGCTCATCGAGACCGCCCAGGACAACGGCCTCAGGATGACCAGCAGACTGAGAGAGCTGGAGGTGAAGGACCTGCTTTACCGCTGCAGGTTCTTTGGCTTCAGCTCTGAGACGTTCTCCTTGGCAGTTAGCTTGCTAGATCGATTCCTCTCTGTAATGAAGGTTGGTGATTATCTCACACTGCTGAAGCATAACCTACTATTGATATATAGATGCAAAGATACAAATTTTTGGGAAATTTGTTTGTAGTGTAAATTGTCAAGCCTGATCAGTCTGAAAATGGTCAGATTTTGCTCTGAGGAAGCTTTCTTGATAGTCCTAATAAGGTTTTAATTTGTTACCTACAGATTCAACCCAAACACCTGCCATGTGTTGGACTGTGCTGCTTCTACATTGCTGTGAAATCCTCAGAAGATGAGAAGAATGTGCCTCTGGCCAGCGATTTAATCCGCATCAGTCAGAATCGCTTTACAGTGTCTGATATGATGAGGATGGAGAAGATCATCATGGAGAAGCTGTACTGGAAGGTGAAGGCCCCGACAGCGCTGCACTTTCTCCGCCTGTTTCACAGCCACATCCAGGAGCAGCTCGACGTTGAGAGGTGAGGACACAGGACTGCTTACATGCCTTGTAGTGTAATGAAGTACAGTTTGACTGGACGGTGAATTGAATTAAACCTCTTTTTTTTTTTTTTTTTTTTCAAATGTGAGCTAAATGCATTTAAAGAAATTCATATATATTTGGAATCACTTGAATTTAGTAAAAATCAGATAAACGCTATAAACAAATCTGTGTAAAAATCCTCTGAATATCAGTTTGAATTTTTATGGTCTAATTTTGTAATCTTTTAAGGAAAAAAAACTTTAATAGCATAGGTCTGCAGTTCGTTCTAACTCTAGGAAAGATTATAAAAATTAAATTTGAACAAAAATGCTGAAGTCTTTTTTTTTTTTTTTTTGTATTGTAATGCTTCTTTATTTCTACAGCAGGGAGATACTGAGCATTGAGAGGCTGGAGGCACAGCTCAAAGCCTGTCACTGCTCCTTCATCTTCTCCAAACTCAAGGTAGGTTCTAAACCTAGATTAGTTCACCTAGTTCTCCAAATCATAATGCTTTCACTGTTAACTTTTTTGGTATTTGAAGACATTTATTTTTTATTTTTGTGCCAATCTCAATTGAATTTGTGGAAGAAAGGATCCTCTTTAGTCTGGTTTTTGGGATTTCCTTTTTTTTTTTTTTCAGCAATGTTCAAATGAAGGGGTGGGGCTTTGGCTCAGTCTGGTTTAGTGGATTGTGGGTAAAGTCCTTTTCACTCCTACTTGATTCACTCTCCAAAGCTCTCAGCAGAGAAAACCACTGCCCATTATTTAACTACAACATCAGATTGAAAGACCTTGAAATGAAATGGTGTAAAAATGAAAGTCTCAGAAATATGAAAGGTGAATTAAATTGGTGTCACAAAAACATACATTAAAATAGCCATGAAATGTCTAAAAATGTTTTTTTATTTTATTTTTTTAATCTACTTTATTTCATGGGGACATTCATGGATAAAAATTTAATCTATTAACAGAAGTTTGAATGAAAAATCTCTCCATATGAGATCATTATGAAAAAATTAGCAGACATTTCCCTAGGAATTTTTCTACTGTAATCATTCCTCCATCTTCATTATCATTTGGATTTTTGTGTGTCATTCCCTCCAGGTTTTTTGTCTCAAATGTAATCACTGGTCACTACTCTGACATCTTGCATAAATGCCCAGTACTAACCTATAAAAACATGTTGACATCCTGTTAAAAGAACCCTTTTTTTCCCCCCTTCTCTACAGCCATCACTCCTTGCTTTGGCTCTGCTGTGTTTTGAGGCCCAGGAAGAACACGACCCTGAGCACGCGAACCAAATATCTGAGGCCCTGAAAAATCTGCAGCAGCTGCTGAATGTGAGTTTTGTTTGGTGACGATCAGAGCTAGTATTTGTCTACAATGTTTCAGCAGTTGTCTTACGCACCGATTTCTGGTTTAGGTGAGAGATGGAGACCTGCTGTGCATTAGAGAGCTGGTCAGGAAATGCCTGGTCGAATACGCCAACACCAAGTGCTCCAGACCAAACAGCCAGAGGCTCCGCTGGATCATCTCAGGAAGAACAGCGAGCCAGCTGAAGCACAGCTACTACAAGATCACTCATCTTCCTACCATACCCGAGTCGGCCTGCTGATGGAAAGCTGACTCGTGGAGGGATGACCTTAGATTCTCACAGTTCGGTCATCTCCTTATTTTCCTTACAGATCTTCATTATTGATAATGGATTTCTTTAAAGAAAAGCTTAGGAAAAACTTTTAGGAAACTTTTTTTTTTTTCTTTACCAATAACAAGGAATACTGCTCTGTCAAAACAGCCAAATCTCCCCCATCCTGTTAAGTTAAATGTTCCTGGTTGAGTTGCCTGCACAGGTGTACAGTATGTACTTGTTTGAATCCATACACGTCTTTGTATGGGTTGCTGGTTTTAAGCTAATAAAGTATTGAACCACCTAGGTCCTCAGTCCACCATGTGGAAGAGGAGGGAGAAGGATTTTGTGATTAGCAAAAATGGAACCAAGAAATCGGGCCCAGAATCCTTAACTCCCACCCTAGGTTGCTAAGCTGTCCTGAATGCACACTCCTACCCAAGGTGATTACTTTTATTTTTAGTTTCTTATAAATGACGAGGGAAGTCTGGTTTTACCAGCAAAGTGAATCTGGCGGCGATCCCGTCGCCTGTATCCAGCCATGTTGTTTGAGCTGAAATGTCACCGGCAGCAACAAACCGAGCTGTTTTCATTTATTCAGAGTTCAGTGGACGAATCCAGCCTGCACATTATTACTCGATTGGTTTTAGTTGAATAAAGTGACCACTGCAGTGGAAATGTAGGTTGGAATTTGTTTTGCATTTTCTGCTCCAGTTTCTCAGTGTAGTACATTTTATTAGTGAGAAATAAAACCTGTTTTAGAGTTCAAAACGGTTACAGAAACACACCATCTGAACTTATGTTTGTGCACCTTTCAATAAAGATTTATTGAAAAGCTAGACCAGTGTGTGTTCTCATCATTGCAAGGCAACAGTGCTTCAACAAATAGTCCCTTTAGTCTTGTATAAAGAGCAGCGTTGTCCAGAAAAACAAGTTCCTGTGGAAGAGTCTCTACGGTCAACAACATCTAGGCAGTGTGGTAAATATGTCCGTCTTGAAAAGACTCCATCGTTTTCCTCAAGGAAACTTCTCTATCCACTGCTGTGAGTTGAGGGAGGAGACGGTCACTTTTGTAAACTGGAAAAGTCTGGACCCCCACCAGCAAAGTTTCCAGAAATCTCTGCGCCACTGAAGTCAAATCCAGGATTCTAGACAGAAGAAAACTGGGTCAAATACAGTTTCTTGGGATAGCAAGAGTTGATTAAAAAGGTACACAACCATGCTGTCTACTAAAAAGACCCGAACAAAGTAAGGCTCTATTAGCCTATATAGTCCAAGCATCTACCCTGAGGGTTTTGATAACCCTTTTTAAGCCTAAATAGAACCCCAGCACAGAGCGCCATGACCTCGCATAGACGTGGCGCCATCTATCAGCAGTCCTGCTGAACTGCAGGACAGTGCTGTAATGCCTCGTAGAAAACTGACAGTTCGGAGGATAGGACTAAAGCATTTTTAAAAGCTTTAGCACTATTGTAAGGACATGAGCTCTTATCAGCTTTGCAGCGTTAGGCTTTAGTGTACTCCAATTGTGACTTTATCCAGCGCAAGTTTTTATCCACCTTGGAATTGAACATTTTATTATTCCTTTTTGCATTTCATCTTAAAATTTTCTTTTGATTTCCAAGCTTGCTCGCCTATATTGCTTCGTCTTGACCAATTGTACACGTGCAAGTTGATGTATCCTGGTCACATATGACGAATATCCAGAGGAAGGCTCAATCTAGGTACAAAATGAAAAGCTCAAAATACATGAACTCCATGTCAGCAGGATTTCGTTATTTGACGTAAAATGTTTTTGGCAACCAGAGAGTTACTGGAGTATACATCTAAATGTCTAATGCCTTTAAAGCATTCAAGTTGAAATTTGAATTAAAGAAACACTGTCTTTGCTTTGGTCTAAAAAATGTCAGAATCACACTACCACAAGAATTTGCTTTTTTTTAAATAAGTAAACTCAGAACGAGTTACAATGCATTATAAAATATGCAAAAAGAATCAACTTGTTAAACTGTAGTCCAGTTAGTTTACGAAGTGTTCTTCAAACTGCATTCTGTCTGCCTTTTAGGTGGTATTCCATGTGATTGATCCACGCTAAGATTAAAGAACAGTATCATATGTAAAGAAACTTCTGCGCAGTGAAATTTCAAACACAAGTTTATCTAAAAAAACAAAACAAATTGAATAAATTAAAGAAATAAATATAGCATAACAACCATCTATTAACTATCTTGTATTAAACTATCCTGCATGCCGTGTTTGGGTCTTTATCTGACCTCTCTCTGGAACCTCTCCAGTGTCAGCTTTCTCTGCATCTGGTCCTGGACCCAGGCGTTCGCACAGTACTCGCCCTCCAGCAGCGAGGACCAGCAGTTCCCCGCCTCTCTGTTGGTCTTCATCAGGACGATCTGAATGAGACATTTGTCCTCTGAAGGAAAAAGGTAAAATAAATCAGGCCGGATAGACACGGGGTGTAGGGGAGGTCTTGTTTTTGAAAAATAAGCTTGAGAACATTTTTAATGTTGTGCGCCTCTCACCCAACGTCCACGTAGCCTCGTCAGACACGGTCGTGTCGTACAGCCTTCCCTGTCAGAACATAGAAGGAAATGTACTTTTTATTTTTACTATGTTGTTTTTTTTTTCGGTTGATATTTTCCTGAATCTGTTCTGGCAGACAAAATGAGTCGATACCAGATTTCACTCAACACTCTATCAGTAGGGCTGAATCGATTTGATTTTGATTCATATAGTTCTAAATCGATTCATTTCGATTCGATATGTTTTTACAATAATGAAAGAGGTTCAACTGGGTTTAAATAAAACACTCATGTATTTTATTTTTTCCTGTCATATTAAACACAAAGTGAAAACTTGTAAATCAGACAGTTTAAACTTGAGATATGAACAAAACTGTCTCAAAAGTGCAAACTTGTTTGTGAGAAGTGAAAAAGTGAAGCCTCACTCGAGCTGTACTATTTTGTATTTTACGTTATAAGTAAAGTCCAAAGAATTAAGAATATGTTGAGGTTTTTTTCTGTTCCTCCTTGCAGAAAATAAAATCTATATATTACATAGATCAATTACACCTCTATGTCTTTTAATAGCAATGATTCAGAATTAGAGAAAGTAAAAACACCAAATTCAGTTAAAAGTTAATCATGATATATTGTGTCAAAGGCTTTTGGATTTTGGATTCAGAAATCAGACTACAGCTTTGTTTTTAAACATCTAACATAAAAAAAATTCTGACTTTACAAAAGGAGTCCCTCAAGACTAAATTTTAGGGCCAACTCTGTTCACCATCTACATTAAGACACTGCAACAGGTTTTCAAAGATACAGCTGTGCATCTCTATGCTGATCCTTCTGTGGTCTACTGTCACTTTCCAACGTCTGCAGGCTTAATTCGACATCATTTAGTCTCAACTTAATTTATTTGCACCTTTGTTCTTCTGTGAATTTTGTCCTAAAATTTGGGGAAACTTTAAATCCCTAATTGCTGTTGTAAATGGATGTAATCTTATGTGCCTGAATGGGTCTAAGGGAGAAAACTAAACAAACGAAGGAATATTGATATTATATCATATTTAAAAAATTAACAATTAACAAACAAAATATCAAACGATATATTATGGCTCTAATAATGCTTGGATTGACCTGGCACCTCACAATACACGCACCTTAGTTTAGTTTTGTCTTCAATTTAATGTTTCTTTTAGCAAAAACTTTTAGCAATATTTATTGATGTTACTTCTTGCGATAACTCAGTGCAATATATATGTATATATATATATATATATACTTCTTTACCCTGTATATAGCTAGCTCTTAGCTCTTAGTTATAGAAAACATATTTATTGTGCAGGAATAAGGTCTTAGCGCTGTTGCACTGGTAGCCAGTGTAACAGCGTTTTAAAGATTCGTTGTAAAGATTCACCTTGTGTTTTTTTGTGCAATGACAATAAAGGAAGTCTAAATCTAATAATTATCACTGACTGTGGAAAGTTCACCCTGGACTCACACTGATTCTCTTGATTTCAGAATAAAATGCAAACTTAACATTTTCTTTCAACCTGTTAATATGCTGTTACCTTTTTCCCAATATAATAATGTTTTTATACCCTGAATACTTATGTAAGCTATAATGATCAGAATTTAAAGAAACTGAGGCTTAAATTATAAAAATGTATGTGTAATAAATCTATAATATATACGTTTCACTGCCTGATATTGGAATTTCTTTGTAACTGCCTGGGGTGGATGTCTACAGGCACCTTTTTCTTTCTTTTACTGACACCTGCCTAAAGACTAGATAAAATATCTAGAGATGCATTGTCCAAAAATCTTTATTCTACATTTTAAACAGCTATTTCTCCAGTTATATGGTTTTCTTAAAGCATTATTTCCCCTTTCATCATTTTAAAATGCTTATTTCTAGTCGTTTACATCGTTTTAACTCCCTCTGTGTCACTTCTATGTGCTCACATTTCGCAGCTTACCTTAAATACCTCCTGCCCTCTGACCTGCAGCTCGATATCCCTGCTTCCTAAGCGACACTTCACCTCTTTAGCTGAAGTCCCAGGAGGCACATGGACCTCGATGAAGACCTCCTCCATGGTCTGGTACCAGGACCCCCACGGTGTCTTACAGGGGACAACCCCGCTCCTCTCCTCAAAGTGAACCGACATACTGCTGCCTCCACCCGCCTTAAAATGTTTAACAGTTACTAGCAGGTTTAAGATGCTCACCCAGCGGCTCGATTTATCCGGAATGACAACAAACTTTCACTTCTTCTTCGGTTTCTGTTTCCGGTTGAGCCTAGCCTTATTTTCCCCTGCAGCACCACCTGCTGTTTAACAGCAGGAATTACAGGAAATAGGTTCATGTTTCTTGATACACAAAAAAAAAAAAAAAAAAACACTCTAACCACACCATTTTATGTTCACTTTAGTTTATTTGTCTATTTCTGTATATTTTGTTTGAAGTATGCTATAATTTACTCTCAACAGTATTATAGTGAATACATAGACTGTCTAAAATTGGAGTGGATTCACTAATCTGTTAATTAGATTACTGTTCCTGCCTAAGTGCCAACTATTCTTAAGCAGTCGCTTTAACAACCACAAGGAAACGCTGTTTTAAATACCTTTCATTTTTGGATAGAAGTTTAGCTAAAAACTGGTTTTTAAAA